CAACAAGATGGACACAAGTCAGAAAGAAGCCAGTGCTGCCTTGTTTTTTTTTTTGTTTTCATTTGTATCTGGATTTATTTACATTAATAACAGTTTAGGTTCCACATCATTTTAATTTTTATTCATGACATATTTAGTTGAGAAGCCCATGTGTCTGTTTGTGATGGGTCTGTGTCTCTGTGAGGGCCCTGTGTGTCTCTGTATGTGAGGGTTGCATGTCTCATTGAGGGGTCCCTCTTTCTTAGCGAGGGCTTCTCTGCTTGTAAGGGCCCCGTGTGTCTTTGTATGTGAGGGCCCCGTGTCTCCATGTGGGGCCCCGTGTCTCCTCTGTACTTGACACAACATGATCTGATGTGACCGAGCAGCACAGGGTTCAGCGATGAGCCAAACATCAATCTTTCACCTGAATTCATATTTTATCTGCACTCAATCATTTACTACCCTCTCTCTCTCTTTCTCTCTGTGTATCCCTCTCTCTCTCTGTCTCTTTACTCTGCTGTAGGCTCCTCCCTCTCTCTCTATTTCTGTCCCTCTCTCACCCCATCCTCTCCTCTCTCTCCTCTCACTTTCTCTCTCTTTCTCTCTCTTCTCTTTTTACTCTGCTCTAGGCTCCTCCTCCCCTCTCTCTATTTCCCCTCCATGTCCCTCTCTCTCTCTCCTCCCTCTCTCACCCATCCTCCTTTTCTCTCTCTTGCCCTCTCTTTCGTCTATCATTCCTTCCATCCTTCTCTCTTACCTTTCTCTGTAACCCCTTGCTCCTCATTCCTCCCTCCTTTCTCTCTTTCCTCCCTCTCTCTCTTTAACCCCCTGCCCTCTCCCTCTTCTCGCCTTTCTTCCTTCTCTCTTCCTCTCTCTGCACTCTCCCTCCTTCTCTCTTCAAACCACCCCCCTTCCACTTTTTCTCCTCTCTTTCCCCTTTCTATCTCTCTCTAACCTCCCTCCCTCTCCCTCCTCTCCCTCCCTCCTCTCCTCTCTCTCTCTTGTAGCAGGACAAGCTGGCTCGCTGACCCTTAAACGGTCGGAGTAGTGCCGCTTGGCTGCTCGGTGCAGTGGTGGTGCCAGAGCCAGGCTCCATGTAAATGATCTGATCATTCCTCTAAGGCACCACTCACTTTACTGTGTTCTGCAACACTGTGTTCTGTTGTACTACTGTGTTGTAGTAACGTGTTCTGCTGTAGTACTGTGTTCTGTTGTTCTGCGTTCTGTTGTAGTTCTGTATTTTGCTGTGGTGCTGTGTTCTTTTGTGTCCTGTTGTGTTGTGTATGTGATCGCTTTAAACTTTATTATCCACACAGAAAAACCAGAGCAGCACACACAGAAGAAGGATATAAACACACATAAAATACCATTCAATCTCATTAATTACTTTTATGAATAAAGAAATTGAAATATAAATATAATATCATCACAAGGCTCATTGCCTCATTGGCTCATTATTTTCTTTTTTTTTTTTTTTTTTTTCTCACTGTAAATTAACATAATGCAAACTGCAAAATGTAGCTGGAAATAATATGTATTTATTTATAAATACAATTTTATTTATTAATTACAAACAAATACATTTATTTATTTGTTTATAAATACAAAAAGATCAAGGGACTAGAAACTGCAATATTGAAATATAAATATAAAATACTGTATTAATTATTTCACTTGATAGTTAGATAAGTGAAATAATTAATACAGTATTATTAATTATACTGTAAATGTCATCCCCATTAGATAAATGTCATCCTCAAATTCTATTAAATTTGAACATATCTTTATCTTAGTGATATTAAAAACAAGTAAATAAAATTTAAGAACTATTTACTTATGGTAAAAAAAAAAAAAAAAAAAAAGTTTATAATAAATAATATATATATTTTTATATTTTATTATATTTTTTAATTTAAATTTAATTATTATTTTTTAAATAATAGCATAGTATACTATTTATATAATATTAGCATTATTATTAGTCTTTTTTTGTTACAGTATTTTTTCATGTACTTTGACTTATTTATTTATATCAATTTATTTATTTTATAAAAAGTAAAAATATAATATTAGTTATTTATTTCATGTATTTATTTGTATGTTCTATTATTATTTTCATTTTATTATTATTATTATTATTATTATTATTATTATTATTATTATTATTATTATTATTATTATTATTATTATTATTATTATTATTATTATTATTATTATTATTATTACATTAATGTGACTTAATCCTACATTTTTATTGCATCAAGAACCTGGTTTAGTTCTAGTTAAGGTCAGGGTCAGATCTCCAGGAAGTGATTGTAACTGTCAGTGCAGTGTGCCCACAAACCCTGGAAAGATGACATCGCTGCATGTGTATGTGTGTGTAGACTTCAGGTGTTTTCTGTAGTCACTGACCACAGCACTGACCCTCCCCGTGTGTCGCTGCTGTGCTCCGCTTCAGGAGTCATTTATAGGAATGTTCAAAGTGTGCGGCTGTGTGCTGGACCAACACTACCGACCTTTGACCTCCACAGAGCCAGCCAAGTGTGAATATGAAAGAGCAACACCTCCATCTAGTGGTCACCTTTATATAACCCCCTCCTGCCCTCTCTAACCCTGCGTAATGGAAGAGAGAGAAACTGCTTTAGAAGATGTGTATATAGCATTGTATAATTAACATAACTGCAGAATTTCAATTTAATTACACGTTTGTGGCATTTATTTGCAAAAGGTCCACTAGGCTTCTTCTAATCTAAAATAAACATGATTAGCCTAGATAAACACTAAGATTAAATGCATAAAACATAAATATTTAGAAACATATTTTGTTCAAGAGTCTTAAAAAATTGACTCTTGTGAGATTAAAGTGATGTTGTAATGGTGTTACTTCCTCAAAAACAGACCTGGAGTTGTGTTTTGTTTCATTCACACATTTGAGTAACCCTTTATTATTAGTTTGTCTACATCTCCAAAACTCAAAATGCTAATACTTTCAAGAATATAATGACACCTAAAGTCCATAAATAATGCTGGGGCTGTATTTCTGTCCTGTTTCTCAGTTCACACATTCATACAGCAGATGGCAGCAGTGAGTAGCCTGTGTGCTGGTCCATGGTGGGAGGCTACAGTGAAGCTAGAGGATACTGCTGCGGTGTCAATTGCGGCGGCCATCTTGTGATTGTAGAAAGAGCAAAAATCAAATAGAAAATTATGCAAAAAGATGGCAGGTAACCAGAGTTCCTTTGAATGATCAAATTAAACATCTACCCTAAAACATTACACTACAAGTTTTATACAGAATACTTATATTTATACTGTGTTTGTGTGTCAGTACACTGTATGAACACAGGAATACGGACACAACCATTGAGAATCAGTCTGTTCATGCCTATTACTATAAAAGAAGAATTCATTTTGTTTTGATGTTTTCGTTTTTGTTTTGTTTTTTGCATAGTAGAGCATATAGACAGCATAGATACAATTACACAAAAGTCCAACTATCAAAGTATTAAAAGAAGAAACTAAATATACATAAACTAGTAGTCAAAAGTTTGGACACGCATTCTCATTCAATATTTTTTGCTTATGTGTTTGTTTTATCGTTATGTTTACTACTTTCTACATTGTCTGCAAGATATAGAGAATTATGCAGTAAAGAAAAAACATTAATAAACTTGGTTTAGTTGTTTTTACAGCTGTACGTGCCTTGTCAGGGTCAAGAAATCCCAAAATTGAAAGCAAAGGCTGGCTTTTTATTTCTTTATTTTTATTTCTTTTTATTTATTTATTTTGACTTGACTTTAGGTGGAAAAGAGCATTTTCTGTGTGAGAGAAGAGCTGTGAATCAAACACAACACAACTCCAGGTATGTTTCAAATGAGGAAACTACATTATAAGCAGTGTTGGGGAGTAACAGATTACATGTACCGGAGTTACGTAATCAGAGTACAAATTATGAGTAACTGTATTCAGTTACAGTGACTGTTTCAGTGAGTGGTAATTGGATTACAGTTACTTTGTTGAAATAAATGGATTACACAGAGGTATTTTCCTGTTTTCACATTTCGGGCTATATCCTTTTTTTTTCTTTTTTTTTTTTTTTCTTTGGTAATTCCACTCATTGCCGGACAATAAACCAGGTCTAAAACCAGGTCTAAGCCAGGTCTAAACCAGGTCTAAACTGGGACTAAGCTAGAATTAAACCAGGACTATAACCAGGTCTAAACCAGGTCTAAATCCAGATCTAAACCAGATCTAAACCAGGTCCTAACCAGGTCCTAACCAGGTCTAAACCAGGACTAAACCAGGACTAAAAGCAGGTCTAAACTGGGACTACACTAGGACTGAACCAGGACTAAAACCAGGTCTAAACCAGGATTTCACAGGACTAAATCCTGCTGCATGGACCGTGTCTCCTCCTCTTCTATCAATAATATTTTTAATCTGGTTAAGTAAAGTCTGGGCTTTTCATTGTCTTTTATCAGACAAAACTTCTTATGTGAAGATTTCCGAATCTTTGCTTCTCTACAGCAAATCAAGTCATCCAAAGTATTCAGATTACGTTACTCACTTTAAGTAATTTAATGGATTCCGTTACAAACTACATTTTGGGGTATGCAATCTGTAATCTGTAGGGGAATACATTTTAAAAGTGACCTTCTCCAACACTGATTATAACAGTGATCTGAAATAGTGTAATATGGGCCCATTAAGAGATAATAATATTAAAAAGCCCAGCTCCCTATTAGACCTTGAGTAGAATGTTACAGTCACAACATGGCTGGAGTTTCCCTTGTGACACGTGCTCTAGCGTTCCTCTGTGTCGCTGTGGCAGGCTCCGTGACATGTGAGCGTAGAAGAAGAGCACACTGCTCGCTGTCACTTGTAGCACTAGCGTGTGAAAGTTGGGAGCATGTTGTGACTCAGTTTACAGCTACAGTTTGTCCAGAGTGGCGCGTTTAACTCCTCCTAAGCACACAGTCAGGTAAAGAGACCAGCCGTGTCTGTGTCAGGGCGAGCATGAAGGGCAATACACTAACACCAGCTGCTCTGCTACATGTACCAAAGTGTGAATGCTAAAGCTAAAGAAGCTAACTTGAGCCTGTTGGGCTGCTGTGTGCTGGGGCTGGTGAGAGCTGCTCCTGGAGGTTACACTCCCAAGTGAGAGGCCGCTTTTCACTTTTACACACTGCAGGGGTTAATACTGCCTACTCCATTATCTATTGCTCTGAATATCTTGGTTTGTCCCATTCAAAATACAAATAAGATCAACACAGGTGCAATAATAGTTAGTAACTTTATATTTACAGATGAATAATTATTCATTTTGTCTTTTGTTTTGGTTTCCCACATACCTCACCCACCAGTCTAAATTTAGCACTGTGTAACATTTATGCAAGTTGAACAGTAAGAATTCATGTTTTTCAAGGCATTTCTTAAGCTTTAAACATTGGACCATTCCAGGTAAAACAATAACATCTCCATGACAACAAGCAGGTGGCGGACCTCTAACTACAAAAAGTTACATAGTGCTTTAGTTAAACTGCATATTGTAAAAAAGGCATATATATAATATTTAATAAGGCTTGAATTTAGAAATGCTTTTTAGAAAAGAACATTTGAGTTAATAATTGTTTAATCAAACAATTTAAAAACATTTTTTGAAACATGTCAGGATTGTCATGGCTGTTTAACCAGTATTGTGCAGACATCACTGTACATGCACAAAATATTTACTTAAAATGTTTGTATTATTGATGTATGATTTAATTGTAATCTGTGCTCAAATAAAATGGCAAAATCCCTTTAAAGATACAATCTGTATGTTATTTTGATTTTCTGTTACCAGTGATGCGAAGTACCTTAAACAGCCTACGTGCATTGAAAATGCATATTCTGAATACTGTGACTTTTCTTGGTCACTTTTGTAATGCGTGTGCTTGCATTTTTTTCCATGTCTAATTAGACAATAATGCATAACAAACAGTGCAATAAAAATCAAGCTGTAATTATGCGTTATGTTTGCTTTCACTATAATATAATGTATTCAGAATACATTACTCTGGTCCATGAAATGGAATATTCGGTATTCTGTAACTAAATACATTTTCAAAGTATTCTTCTCATCACCACTAAAAACCTGTTCCCCTTTCCCCTCACCTGGCTCCTCCCTCTCCACAACTGGCCTTTGTTCAGCCTCATGTGTGCTCTCTGCTCTTTTTCTGTCAGACCAAAGCTGGCACACTGTCAGGCAGCACTCAAGTAGATAATGTTATTATGAGAGTCTACACCAGGGGTTGTTCACATAAAACCGCCTTTGTCTCCTGCTGTTCGTCCCCAGGCCCACAGGCTGTGATGCGGCGGGGAGACCAGGCTCCGAGGGCGTTCCAGGCTCCGGTGGACGTCCACGCCAGTGCAGATGGACAGGTGTACATGTTCAAGAGAAGGAGCGCCGAGTCAGCTCTGTGTTCTGAGGAGGAGGAGATGAGTTCCCTGGAGCTCCGGTCGTACCATTCGCACCCAAACCACAGCACTACGCAGGTTCTGGAGAGGGAGCTGCAACCCGGAGACAACCTCAACAAGCTGGCCCTGCAGTACGGCTGTCAGGTGAGCACTACTGCTCAACACAGATTTCATATTACAGATTCTCAAAACATTTACTCCAAATGTCCCCCAAATTCAACCTTCAATAAACTAATATGCAGTAGATCTATTTTAGAGTCTAAACAGGGAAAAAGTTCATGTAAGACCACTGGTAGCACTGTTTTATTCAAGTCCACTTCTCTTTTTGGTAGGAAGTGGCAGGCTGATGTGGGCTTGCTTTGGTGTCAGTAGGGCCTTCAGCTCACAGCTCCATTAGAGCCTTTCCCAGATTCCAGGGAAGGCTGGAGACATGCGTCTGAGTGGACCATGGCACCTCTATTGTTGAAGCTGTGACCTCAAGGTCTTTGGATCAAGTGGAAGTCTGTCTTTTGAATAAGGGGGTCCGGAGTTGTGATCCTTCCAAGTATTCATACGTTTGAGGAGTACAGATTCTTTCCTAAAGGATTTGGCATGGCAAAAGCCCTCCATTGTTATAGCAATAATTGAAATATTATGTTGAATGGGAAAATGTCCTCACAAAGTCCTTCAAATCAGGAAGGAATCATTAGTTTGAAACCCATGACGGGATTGAGGAAAATCTGGCCAGTGATTGATGGTTGATGTTATGTGTTGCAGTTAAACCCCAGAAATAACATACCCCTCTTTAAACCTTGATAATAAATGTCATGTAGGTGCCTGGAGTCTCTGATAAAATTGAAGCTGTGTGTTTGTCGTTCCAGGTAGCTGACATTAAGCGACTGAATAACCTCATACAGGAACAAGACCTGTTCGCCTTAAAGACGATCAAGATCCCGGTACAGAAGCACAGTTTTCTCACTGAGGTTCACCCCACTCAGGATGCCCCCCCATCCTCACCTGATGCCCTCCCACCCTCACCTGAGGAGGACTCCCCCACAGCACCCACACATGTCCGGGAGGTCGCGCACTTCCTCATGGAGTTGGACAATGACATGGAGAGGCTGATCCAGAGCACGGAGCAAGACGATGATGAGCTGCTGGAGGTCCGGGACAAGCGGGATCGCAGGAGTCACAGGAAACAGGGGGGTAAGGGGGTCAAAGGTCATGGCGCAGACTGGGGCATCAACTGGTGGAATGCCGTGATTGCCATGCTGCTCGTAGGCATTGTACTACCACTCTTCTACATCATCTACTTTAAAACCAGGCCCTTGGTTCACACTCTCACTAACAGCACGGCGCCAGTGGGGGGGACTCAGGGGCCGGTCCAGGAGCCAGGCTAAAGCATCATCACTGTATGAGAGAGGGCCCCCAAATGTGAATTCATGAGGGGAGAGTCAAGTGCCATTATTATCTTGGAACTCTCCATGTCCATATTTAATTAATCTGTGAGCATATCAGGAGAAACAGTGTAAGTACTATTGTATCGATTTATGTCCGCCTGTGCCCTGTGTCACTGAGTTGCATTAGAATTTTAATACAGAGGATTCGGGAGGTTTTCAGACCCTGATCAAAACGTCAAGTACAATTTTACAACATGCTGTGGGCCAACATCAACCAGCAAATGTTATTACATCAGTTTATCCCAAAGTGGGATATTGACTGAACTGATATCTTGGAACAGATATCCAATCTATCATGTTCTATCTATGTTCAATATTTTTCAGGATTTTGAAATTTTCCTGTATTTAATGTTCTATGTTTGAGCAATCACTGTAAAATTATAAGAATAATATAATTTTATAATATAATGTAATATAATATAACATAATATAATATAATTTGATTTAGCAACAGGCTATCATAATAAAATACAATCTCTCTAAACACTTCCTCTATCCACTGTAGATTATGTAAGATTATGACAATAAAATTACTCAGGGATTATTCAGGCCATGCTACTGCGCTGTTAACATGCCGAATATGGCAAATGTTTGCCTTATATGTAAAACTCATTTTTACAAATGCTATATTCTGGTAATATTACCTGACAATGCTATTTATTTCAGTAACACTTGTGCACTGAATATAATATAATAATATAATAATAATATCTGTTATCATATATTTTTTTTTTTTTTTTTTTAATGAAACAACATACACAAAAAAGCAGAAACATTGCCTGGTAATTGCAATCTGGTCACCTCTCCCTCCACTGCGTCTCAAACCAGAACCAAACGAGGTTGTCCAATCAGATTTCAGTGACGCATGTGAAGGAGCTCATTGGTCGCCCGTCATTTTGAACAAAATCACATTTCTCTCACCTCAGATTAACAGAGTTAAAAGCTTTGCTGATTGATTCTGTAGAAATATTTTTTGACTTTGGTATTTTTCTCATAAGCAGCCATATTTGATTTGATGTGGACAGACCATGCCTGTCCCTGATTGGCTAATCCACCTGTCAGTCACTTGGGGAGGTTCCAGACTCACTGGTTTTCTTTATGTACTGGAGAAGTGTGGACTTTAGATCCCAGGCAGCAAAGACCTATTTATCTCACTGCCTTTCTGCAGCACTAATGTGTTTTTGATTCAGTAGAATCTACAGGCAAATGCCACAGTGACTCCTAAAACTAGTGACAGCACCACTGCTACTACACAATTACATTCATCACCATTCAGTGATAGTACATGCTCATATCTCAGTCAGTATTCGTGTGTATGTGTTCTCTGGGCTAGTTACAATCTGCATTATTTGTGTGTTTATTTCATAGACTGTATAAAAATGGGCATGGCTACCCCGCTCGTTTCAAATAGGACGTGAGCAAGAGCTTGAACTGGTACCTTCGAACTCTGGCTCCAATTGACTTCTGCTGAAAAATGGTGGCTCATCTCTCTGTAACTGCTGCTGTCAGGCTCATCATTCTGACCTTAACATGTTAATTTTACCTCTGTCTACCTGATTTTTCTTTAGCTGTTTTGCAAAATCAAGTTATGGGCATTAATAACAGACCAACGGGGTGCCTTCTTTCCCCAAGGTCGCTCTCACTAGCATTAGCAAGAGGTTTGATTGACAGCATTGTTATGGGAAGGGGCATTACCTTCAGCACCCTCACTCCTGACTGACTCTTTGGTTGCTATGATACTTGCACTCAGATTTCCAGATATATGGGTCTTGGCTCCAGATTATCTGCTATGACTAGCCTAGATAGGCTACATTTGTTTGCATCTGAACACTATAGGTGACATCACACTTAGTCCACTTCTGTATAGTCTATGGTTGATTTATTTAGTTTATTTATTGTTTGTGTTGTTGGTTCTAGCTCCTGCCTTTCTCGAGCCAAAGTGACAGTGTTTACAAAGAGGAAATCTGCAATAAGATGATAATGCACCAGCTGTATAGTGCCTTAAACATAGTGAGATTTCAGTATCAGCCTCTAAAGTGAGTCTTGCACAGTGTGCCGTATTATGTCCGGATTAAATGTGTGACGTGTGAAGCACCTTGAAGGTTTTCAAATCAGTGCAAACAATGTGAAGTAACATATTGCTGAAGTGTAATAAACATTTGAACCCTGAGAGTGTTTCATGCAGTCTTCCTCAAACTGCCTCTGGTGGTCTGGAGGCCCTCTGCAGTTTGATTATTGCAGTTACAGTAGCTCAGTATTTGAATGTTTTTCCACTGATCTGGAGGTTTGTTGTTCAAATCACACTACCAAACTGGGTTAGTGGATCTGATCAATGATGTTTATGTCGAGAGCAGGTTTTGAACCATCAACTTTCAGATCACAAGCACTACCAACTGAGCTACTGTTGCCCAACTATTAAAGTGCCCGTACCAGATTTTAAGATATTCTTGTCAACATAAGTGCTCTTTACATCATGCATCATGTAGCAAAAGAAAAAAAAGGGGGGAAATTTCAGAATAAAATATAATCTGTTAATTTTACAAAGCATTTTTTTAGGTATTCACTAATACAGAAGCCTCAAACTACCTGACACTATCCTAGACACTTGATTCTCCTTTCTCCAGGGTAAAGTTCAACTCTCGTCCAGTCCTACTACCAGACCCAACACAATTGCACAACAATCTGGCGTGAACAACATATTGACAAATGTAGGCTAACATGTAAGACGTCAAAGTAGTTAATATCTGGGTTAAATAAAGTATGGGTGTCTACGTCTTTTCTCAGATATTAGTCCATTAAAGGCCCTGTATCTAATTTTCTCCCATTGTATAGCAGCTGTTGAGGTCAAAATAAGTCAGATGTGTGTTGACTGCATCTAATAATAAAGCATTTTATTGTGAGAGAATCAGGTAGTACACTTCAGCATGCTAGTTGCTGTTAGCTTTACTGTCAGAGCATAACTCTACTCTAGTCTCTGAGAGTTGTGAAAATCACTTATAAACTCACTCAGGTGAAAATTTAATTATTTAAAGTAAGAGAGGAATAACTCTGGAGCACTGCAAGCTGTTTAAAATGAACTAGCTCTGGTTTTCATGTTTTAAGACTGTAAAAATCAGAGTGACATTCCCACTTTAGGTTCACACTTTATGAGCCTGCTGTAACAAAGCCACTCAGCACTAGAGGGCAGCACTGCACTTCTGAGCACTTGGTCAGCTAAACACTTCTTACAAATTCATAGAAACACATTTGTGCTTTCTTGTAGACAGAATTTGCTAATAACAAATAACGTAATTAATAACGCAACAAGATCCACTGGTTTCTTTTTTGTTCATTATTTTATGTTACACTTTACCACAAAAGCAAGTTCCCAGTTTGGGAATTCTGAACACTAAAATGTATTGGGATTCAGAACTGATGGGCCCTGCTTCTTCATGGTAGCATTTCACTGTAGCAACCAGGGTATATGTGTTTTTAATATAAAGAGGTGTTATTATGCAAAATTTTCTTTAAGTAGCTTTTCTACCATGTTATTCCCTCATCAAAAACATACTTGAAGAGGTTTTGTGTCATCCATGCATGTTTGAGTATTTTCCACATCACAATTCTCCATACATATACAAAAGCGTGATACAAAACTGTACACAACAACTTGGCAAATCTGATGTGATGTGCAGTAGTAGTGTAGTAGAGTGACTTAAACTATGGAGCAAAGGGAGAGGAGACCCAGAGCTTCAAAAATGAAAACAAAACTTGTAAAACATGTTAATACGTGGTTTTCTGCAATTATAGCATTTTCAAAACAATAAAAGGCACATGGAGATCTAAATATGTTATGTGTTAGCAGTTAATATCCCCTAGTAGTAAAATATCGCCTCTTTAACATCTGTAACAGCCTGACCAAGTGTAGTGCACCATGGCGGCCTGGCAACTACGTGATTAGCACTCACACGCTTCACAGCAGGGAGTTTGCAGGTTCGATTACAGTTCCTCCCATGAGCCCAGAACAGGCACAGTTAACATCCTGATCCAGACAAGCTCAAGATCACACTGTAGTGCCCACTGCTCCTGACTGGCTGCTTTAGTTCTATAGAAGGATGGGTCATGCAACACATTCAAATTCTACTCCCTTTGTAATTTGTGCATGTTTAAGCAATCTTTAATCGCTTTTTTACAACACACCATATTTACCAATGGACTATTTTTTTTTTATTAATTTTTTCTTATTCTGTGGTACATGTAGGATTCAGCAGCATCGCGTAGTCATTTTGATACAAATAAAAAGAAATCTGCTACTCACTAGTGTGATTTGCAGCTATCCATCGAAGGAGCCAACAACTTCTTGGCTCTTTGCTGTGACGACGTTTAGGACGACGTCAGCTCCCATTGGACACTGCGGTTTTCTAATGAGGAAATCAACTGACTTATTTCAAGTCATTTATCAATATTATCAGTCTTTTATCAAGTCATTTTAGATGAATACTGCGATATAAAATGTGCAAATAATAACATAAAGATCCAGGGGTGTCATAGATTGGAACTATATACCAGACACAAGTAGGGCTTATTTAACCTTAACTTTCATTGACTTGTTTTTATTGTTGAAAAAGAGCCATAGGACATTTTTAATCCTGCGTGAATGCCCTTGAGTGTGATTTATTTTTAGCACTGATGCCTGAAATTTAGGATTACTCCAACATGCGCGTAAAATACTACTTTGAGTAACCTAACGATGAAAGAAAAACAACTGTGAATTGGCATAAAGCTCATAATATTTGATTAACTTACCACATTCATCACCAAGAAAACACCTATAAAATCCCTACTTGAAGCGCACTTGATTCATTGCCACTCAAATTTTGTTAAGAGCAACTGAAAATTTATATCAAAACAAACTACGAGGCTAATTTATAATGTGGTGTGGCGCAGTAGACCTGGTGTGTGTGCAGCCCATGGCTCCATAAATAAGAGGGGCAGATGAAATATGAGTTCCCCCAGAGCAGCAGGCGCTTCTGGGGCTTAAACCTTTAGCTCACCCCCCTCCTTCTCCATCTCCACCCACACAGCACCAGTCAGCACTACTACTCAGCATTATACAGTCCACGGAATATGTACGAATATATATTACCTGTGAACGCAAAAGCTCGATGTATATAGTGCGAGATGTGACCACCTGTTTCTATTGTTTTCGCTTTAGGCAGCACAATAATAGTGACATCTTTATCTCACAGCAAGAAGGTCTTAAGTTTAGTTTTCTTTTTTTTTTTTTTTATAGAATCCTAACAAAAAATCTGAATAAAACAAGGAAAAGTTGAGTAATGGGCCAAATATTATGGGTGAAATCTATTCGCAAAAGGAGCTGACATTACCTTTAATCCCCAGTGTTGTCAGGGGTAAAGTTGTGTGGGTGGGTATGAGGGGTATGTGGGTTTGGTTGGGGTGGTTGTGGGTGGTTGTGTAGTTGTGTGTGTGTGAGGATGGGGACTCTAGAGGTGTGTTGTGATGTGGGCTTTTCCCTCTGAACAGGACCCGGTTTTAAAGCTTAATGTATTCCTGGTCTGGCACTTCTTCAGTCCTGAACACATCTGCAGCCTTTCTGTACTGGTTCAGCCCACCAACCAACCAACCCAAAGGTCAGTGGTTTGATTCCAGGTCTCCAATACATAACTATTTTTGTGTCTTTGGACAAGACGCTTTATCCCTCTTGCCTTTGTATGATGATGTGTGGGGAGTAAACGAGAGATTTGTCATAGTTTGAGTTTGGTGGTTTCACTTACTGTTACTGCACTTAATGTCTTTATTTTGGCTACACTGAGGTTTACACTGGGGTTAATGGATGGGGTCTGTTATATTGCACATTACATCAAAACTATTCAGTGTTTGGTGCTCTGGGACAATGACAATCTTGAATTAAATCAGTTTAGTTTGACTCAGGGCTGCTGTGTAGAACGCTGTCTCCGCAAAACCATAACTGGAGTTGTGTTTTGTGTCATTCACACATGTTTGAGTAATCCTGGTTTATTAGTCTGACTACATCCTCAAAGGTCAAAATGCTCTGTTTCTCCTTGTGATGTCATGAAACTGTAGTTTTCAAGTTCAAGGTCTTTTACCTTTGGTGCGGTAGAGATGGGCTGAAATACTGTGGAACACTTCTTGCATTATCAAATAACATCACATGGTGGAACAGAGTGTATTCTGTTTGAGAGAATGACTGTAAAACTCCTCCTAAAAATGCAGTTTGCGTGTGAAACATGTGTGAATGGAACAAAACACAACTCCAGGTATGTTTTTGAGGAAGAAACAACATTACAACATAGATCAGAAAAGTTGTAATATGGGCCCTTTAACCTCTATTTTTCTGTTTCATTCCTTGTTTTCTCAGTTGGTGACAGTCGCTGTGATACTGGCCTACATAGGCTGTTGTGTTTGGGACCTGTGGGTGTGAAGGGCGTGGAGGGTGTGCAGGGCTGAGCAGGGCAGGACCAGCTCACTGCAGCAGCTGGCACAGAGCCATGAGCCAACACAAACACATGTGAGCCTTTTTCCAAGCAGCTCTCATCACTCCTGAGTCAGTCTGTACAACACCCCCTGAGTCACACTGTACGCACCAGAGCGTCTCAATGTGTGGGGCTGCACCTCTAAAGGACTGCATCACTGTCTGTACAACACATGGTTTTGTGGGAGTGCTGCAGAAGCAGAAACTTCTAATCCAGTAAAAGAAGTACACTGTAGGAGGATGCAGTCTAGAGTTCTCATAAAAAGCAATAACCAGATTCTAATAGACAAAAATACAAAACTATTTTTATAGATACTGAATAAAATCCTATAGATGGGACAAACGTGGACCTTTCTTGAATAGTTTAGAATGGTCTTCATCAGAATATGTCACCATGTGAAAGCTCAGAACCTTTAGAATTCCCTCAGTGAGCTGCAGAGGCTGCACTAGCTCTGATTCATGATTGGCCGCAAATGCTGGGCTTTAGGTAGTGACCATTGAGACCACACAGAGCTTTCAACCAACTGGATTTCAGCATTACAACTGGCAACACAAAGGAGAGGCTCATGTGAGGCATATTCTGCTTTCTGATTAAATATCTTATTGACCTTTATTTACCAGGATAGTCCCGTTGAGATCAAGAATCTCGTTTTCAGGGGATTCCCCTGCAC